ATTGCTATGTACTCAGGTAGAATAAGAGACATGGTGACTGGACCTAGGTAACTCTGTTAGGGGAGATTTTGTTTCCATTAAACCCTCACTTTTACGTGCCTTAACCCCAGTATCTTCATATTAACTATTATCTCACCAAAAACTTTAAAATGTTTTGTACTGCGATTTTCTTTTTTTTGAGATGGAGTTTCTCGTTCTGTTTCCCAGGCTGGAGTGCAGTGGCACAATCTCAGCTCACTGCAACCTCCGCCTCCCAGATTCAAGTGATTCTCCTGCCTCAGCCTCCCCAGTACCTGGGATTACAGGGGCCCACCATGCCCAGCTAATTTTTGTGTTTTTCGTAGAGACGGGGGTTTCACCATGTTGGACCAGGCTGGTCTCAAAATTCTAACCTCAGGTAATCTGCCCGCCTCAGCCTCTCAAAATACTGAGATGACAGGCCACCATACCCGGCCTGTACTGCAAGTTTAGTTGTCATTTTCTAACTGGCTAATCTCACTGACTAGCTGAAATGGCTAGATAATATGTGTATTTCAGCACAACCAAACAGTATAGTTAATTCTAACATCTCTGTTGTGTAAACTTGGGTCTTTACCCTGGCTGTGTATTAAAATCCTCTGGAGAGATCTGAAAAAATATTGGTTCCTGGATGCCAATGCTGATTTAATCAGTTTTTGGAAGCTCTCCTCTTGATTCTATTTATTTTTTTTTTTAAATAAAGATGGGCTGGGCACGGTGGCTCATGCATGTAATCACAGCTCTTTGGGGGAGGCCCAGGTGGGCAGATTACCTGAGGTCAGGTGCTCGAGGCCAGCCTGGCCAACACGGTGAAACCCCAAGTCTCTACTAAAAGTACAAAAATTATCTGGGCACCTGTAATCCCAGCTACTCAGGAGGCTAAGGCAGGAGAATCACTTGAACCCAGGAGGTGGAAGTTGCAGTGAGCCAAGATCTCGCTACTTCACTCCAGCCAGGGTGACAGAGTCAGGCTCTGTCTCAAAAAACAACAAAAATAGACACAGGGTCTCCCTATATTGCCCAGGTTGGTCTCGGACTTCTGTGCTTAAGGGATCCTCTTGCCTCAACCTCCCAAAGTGGTGGCACTACAGGTGTGAGCCATCACACCCAGCCTCCTGCTGATTCTTTTTTTTTTTTTTTTTTTTCGAGACTGAGTACCGTTTGTTGCCCAGGCTGGAGTGCAGTGGCCCGGTCTCGGCTCACTGCACTCTCCACCTCCCAGATTCAAGCAATTTTCCTGATTCAGCCTCTCCAGTAGGTGGGATTACAGGCACCTGCTACCACACCTAGGTAATTTTTGTATTCTTAGTAGAGACAGAGTTTCACCATGTTGGCCAGGCTGGTCTTGAACTCCTAATCTGAGTGATCCACATTCCTCAGCCTCCCAAAGTGCTGAGATTACAGATATGAGCCACAGCACCCAGTCCCTCCTGTTGATTCTCTTCAAAGATCTTTTTTTTTTTTTTTTTTTTTTTTTTTTTGAGACAGAGTTTTGCTCTTGTTGCCCAGGCTGGAAGGCAATGGCGTGATCTCAGCTCACTGCAACCTCCACCTCCTGGATTCAAGAAATTCTCCAGCCTCAGCCTCCCAAGTAGCTGGGATTACAGTAATGTGCCACCAAGCCTGACTAATTTTTGTCTTATTAATAGGGATGGGGTTTCACCATGTTGGCCAGGCTGGTCTCAAACTCCTGACCTCAGGTGATCCACCCGCCTCAGCCTCCCAAAGTGCTGGGATTACAGGCGTGAGCCACCGCACCTGGCTCCTGTTGATTCTCATGTGTCTAGCAGTAAGAACAAAAATCTGGAAGTGTTTTGGTGCAGGCAAAGGATGAACCCTAATTTCATCATGAAGACATTACTCACCCATAGAATTGGTCTCACACTCATAGGGATATGCAGTAAATATGTATAACTATTTGTATGACTGTCACACACATCTAAACATTGTATAATTTCTCTGAATTGCTATTTGACTGTTTTGGTATTAATTAGTCTTAAACAATAATAGCTAATATTCACTGACCACTTACTATGTTACACATTATGTTTGAGTTACCTCATTAATCCTTCCGTCTTAATAAAGTGGTGCTGAAATGATCTTCATTTTGCTGATGAGAAAACTGAGGTTTATGGAAGTTAAGCAACAATCTCATGCTGCTAGTAAATATAGCTAGGATTTCAAATCAGATAGATCTGACTCCAGACATGCTAGGTTACTTATAGCATGTCTTCCCGGGGGATTCAGTTGACCCCAGAACTTCCTGAATAATACTAATTCACTGGTTAAAAATGAGGGGTGCATGATTATGCCAAGAAGAACTACTTAAAATATTTTTCAGCAGGTTGTTGCTACCCAAAAGAGATTTGAGTCCACAGCTGCCTAACCATACCAACCATGAATGCTCAAAGATTATGACTGAATCTGTGTACAGCCTTTCTGAACTTTGGGTTTCCAATATGGAAATGGTGTAGATAATTTTTGCTCCCTTATTATATTACTTCATACAAAAAGTATGAAGTATGAATTTGGTCATTATTCACATAAACATTATCTTAACAATATCATGATAATGGTAATGTTTAAAATAACCCATATCAGAATAAAATAAGCCATATCATTATTGGCTTTGTTTAAATACACTCCTGAGCTTTGTTTTACCCCCATTAGCTTAAGTCAAAAGCAACATTGTTATATACATGAGAATATCTTAGAATGTATATGGCATATAGTAGCAATACGCTGAATAACAACTTTTAAGGGCAAGTGCTAAGTGAGTTAATAGTCATACTTCCTATCCACAGTTTCACCAGTACAAGCCACTTTTTCTGGGGATGCACAGTTACCATGAATTGGATTCCTTAAGAGTGGGGGGACTTCTTATTCCTTAAGAGAAGGAATAAATATTACTGATCCTTTGTACAACTTTTTTCCTGTGTCAGTTTCACTGTTTATTTTGCCAGATTTTCAGCGTCAGTGTCTCTGTGATCAAGTTTCCCTTGATCATAAAATATGCTTCTCTTGGTCTTTGAGTTGAATATACTTTATGTCCCAGGGGTCCGAACATCAGATTGGAAGTAAGTAGCAACATTCTAGTTCTGTCGACCTTATCCCCTTCGTTCTTAAGATAGTGTATGTATCTTACAGGGCGTTAGTTCCTCTAAATTTTGTAAAAGTAGACGCCTATCCTAGGTTACTCTGACGGATGTTAACGCTGTAATAACACTAAACACAACAGCACTTGATCTTTGTCAGGTGTTAAATATTATATACTTATTAACTCATTTACTCCTTAGGACAACTCCATGAAGTAGTTAATGATTTTTATCCTCACTTTTACATCTGAGCCGATTAAAATACAGGGAGGCTAAATTACTGCAGAGGATCACATAGGTAGTGGAACCAGAAATCCAATCTAGGCAGTCTGGATCCAGAAATTACCACCCTAGGTTACACTACATCTCTTAAAGGACTCTCGAGACCCTGAAGGAAATTTTTAAAAGCAGAAGATGAAATTATATTGGCAATTGACTGGGAGAGGAGCGCGCAAAAGTTGTTAGCTGACAACACGGAGACAGGGCTGAGACCAGCAAGATTGCAAACTGGTGAGCACACTGCTGTAGGAACACCTGGGGTCTCCGGTGACGGAAGTTATTTGGAAGTGAATCTTCCATGGAAACCTGGGAGGTCGTCTCCCGCCCTTGGTTTTTTTTCCCCCCTTAAGACAAAGTAATAGCATAGTTGAACATTCACATTCTCAGCCTCAATTAGGCTATATTTTTATACACAGTTTTAGAATTTACAAAATGCTCTTAAAATATCTCATTTCATTCTCACGACGACTCCAGACTGCACTCTTTTATCTTTTCACAACAAAGGCTCAGAGGAAGCGTGGCAACTGAGTCGTCCAAGGTTTCCACTGGTTTCCAGGGGACAGAGCTGGCGCTACCCGCCCCGCCGGTGTCTCCAAACCCGCTTCAGCCCGGGCATCTATCATGTGGTTTTAAGTCGGCGTCTCATGGACAGAGGTATTGTCTTTACCCGTCTCACGGATAAAGACCTTCTGGGTATGCATGATCTTTGTCTCCATCTCTTTGCCTACCGGAGGGAGGGACCACCGCCAGCGGGGACTCCGGGCGGCGGCCGGCGGCAGGGCTGGGCGGGAGGCGCGGGGGCTCGCGTCGGCGCTCCGGGCGCAGACGGACGGGGTCTGAGCAGGAACGTGAGGGCGGGGAGGGCGTACAACGGAAGGGACTAATCTCGCGGTTTCGAGTTGGGAACAAACCTCGCCCCCCCATCCGTTTCCCTCTCTCAATGTAGACGGTTTGGGGGCGGGTGGGGAGGCGCGTCCTCGGAGCGCCCTCCGCGCGCGCTGCATCGCGTCTGTTCTCAGGCCCGCGATGGCTCGGGTGCGGGCGCGGCGCCGGGAGGGCGCGTCCCGACGCAGGTGTCAGATCCGCTCGGCCGCGCTCGGCGCGCTGGCCCGGCCCCCAGCTCCTCCGGCCGCCGCCCCCCGCCCGCCAGCCCGCCGCCCCCCGCCCCCC